TTTCTACCCTATGGATTAATCAGTATACATGGCAGCTGGTTTCTACAAATAAAACCCTTGTGTTGCAAAGATATTTATGTTATTGATCTTTCCATGAATTTGGAGAATTATGTTATTGGGAATGAGTACTATTCGTACTCCCATACTATACCCTCCCTTCCAAAAAAGTAAAAAATAAAAAGACACAGAGGAGAAAAAGCAACAACACTCTGGATATGTAATGTCAGAGTAAGTTTACTTTTCAGAGTAAAATTCTGTCTAATTAATGCTTTTCTGTGTGTGAAATTGTCTCCTCTTACTACATTTGAGATTGCCAGAATCAACAACAAGCGTGTTTGTTCTCAGTCTTTTTCTAAGTGCTGGGCTTGGTGAGGAGTCGGTGATGGGTACACAGGATTTCTTCTGTTTAAATATATACCTTCCTTAGAATAAGTGTGATACAAAGAAAGCAGATTACCTTTGTAAACTAGTAGTATATGCTGCTTTGTGCATGAATCCTAAACAGGATATCTGATCAGACTCAGGCCAATACTGAAATGTTGTGCAAATCTGATGATTATTAAAAACAATCTCTATGTCATCTCTCTGTTTTTTCACGTGAAGTTAGTAGTTGACCAAAGATATTTCGTAGGATTAGCTAGCCTTTTTCAACTGGGTAAGTAACTAGATACAAAACTGAATGTGTCAGGGAGCCTATTTTGAGGTTAATTGAACCATGTATGTATTTAATGTACCCTCTGTCTTCCTTGTGGAAAACAAAAGTTGCTCATAGATGGAGCTGGAATCTGATATCCTGTAGAGCTTATAATGCTTGAGTATGAAGGAATCTTAAAATAAATAAGAGCCACTCCCAGTGTTATTAAAGGGGCTGAAGGTGGGAGAGGTGAGACATCCCTCAGGCATCTTACCCAACCCAGGCACCGAGGGAGGCTAACACTGTACCCAGTCCTGAGAGTTGTGCCTGAGAATTGCATGCATTCAGTGGCGTTGTGTTTAGCCAAGTTGTGGGGTCCAGTCCGCCAGTGTTTGAAAAGTGGAGTAGGTCCACTGGGTAAAAGGAGGCTTTGGGCTATCCTCTCATTCCTGTCATGCCCCTGCAGGCCAACTTGCCTCTTCTGCAGCGTGAGCTCCTCCACTGCGCAAGGCTGGCCAAACAGAACCCTGCCCAGTACCTCGCCCAGCATGAACAGCTGCTTCTGGATGCCAGCACCACCTCACCTGTTGACTCCTCAGAGCTGCTTCTCGATGTGAACGAAAACGGGAAGAGGCGAACTCCAGACAGGTGAGAGGGAGGAGGACCCCAGACCTGCAGTATGAGGACATGTTTCATGTCATGTTTAAACTGCTGACCGACACCTCTTGCAAAATAATAATAAGCTAGAGTGGCCATCTACGGAATCTTGCTCTGGCCTGGGGTGTTACAGGGTGATGAGTCTCTGGCCTGTGTCAATTAGCTTTTTGTGCAGGTTAATCTTTGCTACTTGTAATTTTTTTTTTTAAGTTTAATTGACCTACAACACTGTGATAGTTCCAGATGTACAATCTAGTGACTTGATTTTTCTATACATTACGAATAGTCACCACCACTGCTTGCAATATTAAAGGAAAAGGTAAAGATGAATGATATTCAAATATGCCAAGTGCCGCTGATGGTTGTTAGACACACAGTCAATACAGGCATACCTTGTTTTATTGCACTTTATTGTGCTTCACAGATACTGCTTTTCTTTCTTTTTTCTTTTTCTTTTTTTTTTTTTTAAACAAATCGAAGGTTTGTGGCACTCTCCATGGAATTACTCTGTTGGCACCATTCTTCCAATAGCATTTGCTCATTTTGTGTGTCTCTGTGTAATTCTGTGAGAATTTGGTAATTCTCACAATATTTCAGACTTCTTCATTATTATATTTGTTATGGTAATCTGTGGTCAGTAATCTTTAATGTTAACCATTGTAATTGTTTCAGCATTTTTTACAAATCAAATATTTTTAAAATTAAGGTATATACATTTTTTTAAAGACATAGTGCTACTGCACACTTAAGAGACTACAGTATAGTGTAAACATAACTTTTATATGCACAGGGAAACCAAAAAAAATTGTGTGACTGGCTTTATTGTTACATTTGCTTTACTATGGTGGTCTGCAACTGAACATACATTATCTCCAAGGGTATCCCTGTATTAAAATTTTCATTTGCTATGTAATTCATCCCAACCACATATTTTACCCTTCAGTGTTAAGAAATTTGTTATTCTAAGTTTTCTCAAAACATCATGGTTTTGAAATCTGGCCTAAGCACAACGCAGTAGCTATTTAATTTGGGTTTTATATGAACTAAGAGAAAACTTCTGGGAAGCTAGATGGACTGAGTGAAGATAAGAGTTAAGTAATAGAACTTATAGATGACATTTTTGCTGAAAAATTTTATCAGTCAATATTCATTCTATCAGGTACTCTGCTCTAATAACTGAGAATTCTAAGAAATGTAAAATAAAACCCCTTCTCCATTAAACCTTACAAATTAGTTGTTGAATAAGGCATACACATGAAACTTCCAGTGTACCTTACTAAAATAATTTTCCTGAATACCTCAGCCTCATATATAAATATTTTCTAATCCAGGAATATAAAGTCTTATCAGCATCTTGCATAGTATTTGTAAAATACAGAGAATCTTAAAATGAAACTATATTCAGAAACTTATTTGTCATATGCTTTGTTTCCTTTTTCTACTTATCCATTCACTCTTTCTGCATTTTATCAGGGAAGCGTAGACCAATCTTTGAGAGGTTAACACCCTGGCACAGATTCCTAGGAGCTTATGATCCTTGGAGCTGCTTAGAGACATCTATCTGTGACCAACTTAGCTACCCTTAAATGTATAGTTGCTTTGCAAATCAGAATGTTATTAAAAGCCAGCCAGTTTACATACAGTTATTACATAATTCTCTGTTAAGCAGTTTTTATGCTACAATCTCTGGAATTTTTCTCCTCTTGACATAGGATCTCTTAATAGTTTAAAATGCCTAAACAAAAAGATTAAACGTTAGTCTACTTCTGACATACTGTAGACCCACCTCCATACATGACCTACCAACAGTGCTACTTTCTTATTTTCGCAAGTTGTATTTCCATAATCATATTTAAGCATTTAGTACTTTAGCTTTTAAAGGCAGCTGCTTAATCCAGGTGTCTGAGTGGTGTGTCCACATGATACTAAAAACCAAGAAGCAGCCCAAAGATAGATGATTCACATGTGTATTCCTGTCTGATCCTAACCATTTACCCTGCAGGGAATCAGTACTACCTGCTGGTATTGAGATGTTTCAGCTCCATATTTCCAAGATAGTGTGGTAAAGGAAATTAAGGATAGACTAGATGGAAAATTGGGAAGAAGAACATTTATTTGGGTGGAGGAGAGGATAACAGGGAAAGGTTTAGATAGCTGTGATAAATGTGAAGGTAATCCTATAGGCAAAATTGGAAATGGACACAGTCTATTCTAGAAACTCTAACTGCTAAGTAACTGTAACAGGCAGAATGAAAACTTGCTTTATCCACTTCTCTATATTCCCAGCACTTTCTCCACTGGTTCTTTCCCAGTGTTTTATATGTGAATATACTGTGACTTTAGACCTCCCTTGAACAGTGCTGAGGTAAGCCCTTGGCAGTGTGCTAACATTGATATGGAAACTTCATATAAATTCCACAGAAAATCAGCATTTTTGTTTTGATGATCTGTAGCTGTGTGTGCGTGCATGTTTGCATTCAGTCAGGTAGAACTTTCTTAAAAGAGCCTTCAGTGTTCTTCCTCTGGTTATCCATAAACAGTTGCTGGAGTCAGAATTCACACAGTTGTTCTTTGGGTGGAACATTCTTTTTCAAGTGGAACCCTGAAGTGTGTGTTATAATGGAAAGATGGCAAATGGATTTCCTGAGTTAGGAGGAAGGGTAATGAGAACATGTTGTGTAAATACATTTGTATCTTGTGGGAATTTGATCAGAGCCAAAATATGGGCCTCTACTATTTCTTTGCATATATTTTCTTCATCTTGTTTGCATGTGCATTTTCCTCTTCTCTGGTTATTTATCTGTATATCCAGATCTACTATATGAAATTTTATAGAGTATGGAGCTATTTGACAGCAGAGCTTTTTTTTGTTGTTTTACTGAATGTTTTGTTGGTGCATATGGTCTGACATGGATGAGCAGCCACGGTGAGATTTTGGAGTCTATTAAACTGGCTCATTAAAAAGATCAATCTGTTTCTGTAATAACACTGGGAACCATCAGTCACTAAAAGAGGGAAAAACTGACACCTGAGGAGAAAACACATTTTGATAATTTGTTCATGACATGTCACGAACAAAAGAGCGCTCTATATTTTGTTTACAACTTTGGGGCTTAAATTCTGTGATGATTGCTGATTTAATCTACTAAACAGTCCTCACGTATTTCAGGGATGGGTTTTGGCAAATGTAACTTCTCATCCTTAAATGTGATTGTCACTGGTTATATTTTTTCTTTTTTTAAGCATTACTTTTATTTACAGAGAAATGAATACTCTGGGGAAGTGTATGGATTTTATTTTTTTTTCCTGTATGGAACAGTAAAATTTATTCTACTTCTTTTTAAAAATAGATCTAGGGTGAGTCCCTGAACAACTATACTAGATTTGTAGGTCTGTGGTAGAATAACTTAGAACCCAAATTAGAAAGAGACAATTTTCATTTAAAAATCGTGCTATTTTTTTTCCTAAAATATTAGAGAAAGTTAATAGAAAGTTCTGATTTCTATTCTTTGTTCATATGTAAAAGTTTATTGTTTATCTTGCCATTTTGTGATGGGAAGAGCTGAGGAAGGGAATACAGACCTTTTTTGGAGCTGATTAAATGAAGAGACCACTTTGAAACAGAGACGAGAGGTTGAGAGTCCTCTTTGAAACTGCTCAACATGATGGTCATGAAAACACAGTTTCAAATGGAGTGAGGAGGGAAAGA